CACAATTTCCGCCTCCCGAGAAAAATATAATTTATAATAGAAATCACTAAAAAGATTGCATTGGCAAAGGTTCGCAGATATCATCTCACAAAAGATATATTTTCACTCCAAATGTCAAGAAAATCTTATATTCAAAGTCACATAGACATGTTTTTTTTCTTTTTCAAATGCAGAGATCAATCGGTTTTAGAACTGAATGCACAACTCGATCTACACTATCATACTCATATTTTTCCCTAACATTTTGCGTGAAACGTTTCAGAAATGGAAGAGTAGATCCCTTGAATGGACATCGGTCAAATGAGTTTTCCGCTGCCGTTTGTTCTGTATTGCTGAAAGCTGAGATATAACACATTGTCAGCACCATACCACAGCCGATCGAGATATATCTGATGCACACATTTGACGTATTGTCAACTCTCTTTCCCTCCCCCACCACCTCTCTCTCTCTCTCCCCTAAAGAAGATGTATGTATGTATCGTACATACATACTCGCATCGTCCATGGCAAAGCGGCAATGGGTTGTCTGCAGTGACAAGAGCGAAGAAAGCAGGCAGTCATGAGGTCAAACTAATTTTGAAAAAACTATGTCTTATATGTGTGAAATTTTTTATTTGGGGGTCACACACATGTGTTGCTTTGCATACCGTGTCTAGCTTGATTGCATAAGCTCATCTCAATCTCCTACATTTATTTACGAAGACCCGCACCGAGTTGGAAATTTGACAATGAATTCTCCAACTCTCTATGAAAATAAACTTACGGTAACAATATCACATTGAACTAATTTTTGTATAGTTTGATCTATTTTATAGGACTATGATTTGTAAAGGTACTTGAGAGGAGAAGATATATATATATATATATAATTCTATATTTATGGATGAAACATTTTTCCTTTTGTGTCTAGTGAAAAATAAGTATAGCGGAAAGCACCGCAAGATGACAGAATTGTGATAGTCTCATGTACGGTCCGTACCTTATCGTTGACGCAGAATGTTTTCAAACCGTAAGGGCCGTAGCACGGACCGTACCATACCGTTGACACGGAATATTTTCAAATTGTAAGGGTCGTACTACGGACGTACCACCCATGTGTATGGAAACCATTAATATACCTCATACCGCAAACATATATATCTTTTTACAAGTAATATGTATCCTATTGATCCGAATTTCTTCCCTCAACGTAAATGTTACTTATATTTACATGATTTTACCAATGATGATCATGATCTAGCAGATACACACTCCACAAGTAGGTGAAGCCCCTAGGTAGCATCCACACATCCAGCCTATAAATACACTGCCCTACCACCTTCTTCTCCCTCACACCAACATCCCTATCCTCTTCTCCTCTTGCACACATTGCCCTCCGTTGTTTCGCAGTAGCATTCGGAGGCATGGAGTGGACGGCGGCGGAGATGGACGAGGCGAGGTCGATCGTCGCTAGGCTGACCAACGCTTATGACTCCAGCGCCCTCGTTGCCGGCGCCGGCAACGGCGACACGAGGCATGACCACATTGTGAGGGAGCTGCAGGCGTGGTTCCCATGGAGGACCATGGATCAGTTAATGTCACATCCTGATTTTTGTTTCAGGATTTATAAATTATTTAATAAATTATTAATCGAATTTATATTAACTGTTCATTAATTTATAAGTGAAGTTAAATGTGGGAAATAAAATTTCCTTAATTTAAAGTATGGATGGATTTAATTTGTATTAAATTCTCCATGATTAATTATACTTTCTGAAATTTTCTCGGAATTTTCGGAGCTCAATTCCTAATGTTAATAATACAAAGAACAGTTTAGCAATTATTTAAATAATAAATTAATCATTAAATGATCTGGATATTATTATATTAAATACTTTGAGTTTCCAAGTATGTTCAAGATTTTTCTTGGAATTATTTGAGCATTGGAAGTATTTTTAACAATTGAAAGATCATCTCATTGGTTAATTTACTTGGAAAAGCAATAAAATCATCCTTCCTAGTCTTGGGCCGAATTCAGCCCATTCCCTCCCTTCCTCTCAGCCGGCAGAAAAGTCTAGTTTACCTCCCTTGCGCTACAGTGCTCCTTCTTCCAGCTCTGGACAGAGCCAGAGCCGAGCCGTGCCGTGCCTGTTGCCGCCGATCCCCTTCCAAAATCCAACCTCTCCGTTGCTCTTATTTCCGAATTGGTTGCGGGAATGGAATCCTCTCAATCTCCTCTTCCTTGTACCCAAGAAATCCCCAAAAGTTTATATGGAAATCCTTTCCAATTTCGCGGTTCAACCTTTCCTTTTTCCGGCGAAGATCTAAACTTTCCCGAGTTTTTCCCGTCGTTGTGGGCTCGATCCCGGCCTCCCATGGCTATATAAAGGACCCCCTAGTTGTCCTCTACTCATCCCCTCAAGTCCCGTATTCCGCCGTCGCCGGAAACGCTCTCCCTCTCTCTCCACCTCCGGCCGCCGCTCCAGCCGCCATTCGCCGTCGCCCCGGCCGTCGCCGGTCAGCGCCGCCACCTTCCTCGGCTTCGCAGTGAAGAGCTCTACCCCGGCCACCCGTTCTTTTGCGCCGAACCCCGCCGGAAGTCGCCGTCACCGTGAAGGCCGAACCGTTGCCATGTTTTAATCTCCGGCGAAGCTTTGCCGTCGACTCCGTGGTCGCCGGACCTCGCCGTATCCACTGTCGGCATCGCAGCAGTGAGGAGAAACCCGGCAGCCACCTCCGCGAAGACGCAAGCCATCGGAGCACCGTCGTCACCGTGAAGCCGATCTGTTCCATCTTCAGTCGCGCCGTTCGTCGTCGTCCGTCGTCGCCCTCGGTCGCCGTCGACTCCATTGGGTTCGCAGGAGCAAGGTGAAGCCCGGCCATCGGTTTTTCTTCGCCGAAGATCGCTGAAACGTCGCCGCCATCGCTGACCCGACCCCGTCGCCGCCTCTACCTCGCTGCCGGCCGTCTGCCGTCATCTTCCATCGTCGCGCCACCCCTCAGTGAGCTTTCCTCTCTCCGATGTCGTTCACCGGTGTAGTTTATCCATAGGGTCTTGATCCAATCTTGACTCAGTCAAGATTAATCTCAGCCATATAAATCCGTTCGCTCTTTTCAGTGGCATATTATTTCTTTTTAATATATGTCATCTACCAAATATAATCTAATCTATTTCAGATGATGCTTTAATCTTTTATCTCAGTTATAAATCATTTGTAAATTATTTAATTAATTTGGAATAGTCTTTTCTTTAATAGATTTAATTAGAATTAAATCTTGTAAAATTCGTAACTAATTCATATGAAATCGGAATGAGGCCGTTCAAGTCTCTAAAATCATCTAAAATCATGATTTACATGTTTGTTTACTTTATATGTATTTTTTATTTGGTTTTTATTAGTCTTTTTCCTCGTTTTGCGTGTTAGCTTGTCGTTTTCGTCGTTTCGAAGGTTCGTAAGTGCGCCGGAAGTATTCAAGAAGACTAATTGAAGACCGAATATTGCAAGGCAAGTCACACAGATCCTAAACACAATTCCTTTGAGCATGTTGATCATATATTTAAATTCTCTATTTATTTCAACTGTGCATTTATTTTCGAATGTCACCGGGTGGTGTGAATCTATTCCTTTGTTATGGCCTGTTTGCATTGATTACTCTATTCCTTGATACCTTGGGATATTATAATTTGACTAGTTGAGCTTTATATATATTGGTTCAACTAGATGTTAGATATAATTGCTTAGCCATGCTTAGAAACATTAGCTCACTAATGGGATGAATCATATATACTACATTATTATTTATGGTTATATTTAATGGTAGCTCACGATGGTTAATCGTGTTATGATAATTAATTGGTAATTAAAATATAATTAATGGTGGGTTGTGAGCACATGGTTTTGAAGGTCGTGCTCATGGCAATTAAGGACCGGTTCGCGAGCTACTGTTGTGAAACATTAACCGTGCCAACCACAAGCTAGCGTGGGCAACGGCTTTACCTTTTGTATAGCATGGTTCATTGCAGAGCACCAGACTGAGAAGTGGCGGAGATAAGCCCACGGGGGTCGCTGGGGAGTCCATGCCTTGTTTTATAAGGGGGTGATTATGATCCAAGAATGGTGCACTGTGGTGAGTTGTGTTGTGCAGAGGGTATTGTCACAGCCTCTATTCGGGTACTTTCCAGTATCGCGACGCATGGTAGACATGATGTTGAGGCTGTCTTGTGGGTACAGTGGTACACCTCTGGCCAGAGTAAAACTATTCGAATAGCCGTGCCCGCGATTATGGGCGGGTTGAGCAATGTTTTTCGTGATTAGTCTCACACCTCTCATAATAATTATGGATGTTATACCTGGTAATAATTTGCTTAGCTCCTGGTTTGGAGTTAGATCTGTACAGCCGGGTATGGTTGTTTGTTCGGGATGGTTGGGCCTGTGCAGCATGGGTGTGTTGTTCAGCGTTGATTAAAATTTCTGATTAATTACTCCACTGTTTTACTTCTCTTAAATGTTTTGCTAAATGCTGCTTTTGCAAATGAGCCTATATTATGCCATCCTTTGGTATCCTTGTGCACTTGCATATTTGCTGTGTGGCTTGTTGAGTATGTCATATGCTCATTCTTGCAATAATCAATCAACCTCAGTTGAAGAAAAAGGATCCAGAAGGAGAAGACGTTTGGCTTATACCCCAGTTGAGCTGCCTGTGGGAGTGGAGCTGAAGCCATCGCTAGACCGTTATTCCGCTGCTGTTTTCTTTTCTTTTGTAAGTGTGTAACGTTATTATTATGATGGATTTGTATATTAAATTGTCAGTTTGTGTACCTCGGCTGATTCCTGGACGAGGATTTTATGCACAAATAAGTTCGGAAATTACTAGTGAATTTCCGGGCGTGACAGTTAATCGGGCTGTACATTGAGCTCATGGCGGAGGAGCCCGCGGCGGCGCAGCCGCAGTACTTCGACGCCGGCGCCGTCGTCGACCCTACGTTCGACTTCTTCATCGACCACAACAACTTCCTCGGCATGCCGCCGCCGCCGGTGCAACAAGCTGATGATCATGCCATGAACAACGTCGTCGCCGACGCCAGCATGAACTACTTCTACGGCGGTGGTGCCATGGTGTTTGGTGGCGGTGCACCCATGGGGGAGACGGTGGAGCAGGCAGCTCCGCCGGTGCCAGCGCCGGTGGCGGTGGCGCCGGTGGTGATGAACCGCGACGACGACGAGGTGAACAACCAGGGAGGCCGCCGTCACCGTGCTGCACCAACAAATACTACTAGGAGGTTTTGGACCACTGAAGAGCACAGGTTAATATGCTTAATTCTAATTATATGGATGATATATTATATCTGGTGTTATGCTTTAGTTTTCCATGACATGAAGTCTTTGAGCAATTCTATGGTCCTTGAGGAGATACCATGAGGTATCAAAAATTTAGTGTAAAACTAGTAAGGTGGCCCACGCGTATGCGCGGGCACTTATATTGTTGAAAGGTAAGATTATTGTTTGTTCAGAAATTTTGTCTCAGATTCAGGGCAAACTAAAGTTTCGATAATGTTATTTTATAATAATTTAAGGGTTCTATTTTTCTTAAGGTATCTTAAAAAACCATTCACAAACTTTTGAGTAGAAGATGGATTAAGTACTTACGACTTTTGAATCATGTTTTTTTTCTCGAGTAAATAAGAAACTATTGCTAGTTAATTATCATACAGTTCGTATATACATACCGTGTAGTATAGCCGCAAAATTAAAAATGCGAGTGCAAGGTACTCAAAATTATTTTGATTAAATCGTCTCATGAAGGCGCATGATATAGTAATAAAGGGAGGGAAGCATATGCATGGGAAAAAAAGAAGAAAGAGAAAAATGAAAAAAGGGAGGGGAGGCGTACCTACCCACGCACGCACATGCGTACCTATGTCGAGGTGGGACCTCGTAGTATTTAGTTTATTTTAAGATCAATTTAATCTAACGGTTTATAATATTGGACCTACCGATTTAAGTGAAAATCTAATAATAGATACTTTGATTTTTTTTTCTTAGAATTTCTAATATTTGCCTTAATTTATTATAGCACCACGTGGCAGCTTGAGAGTATTTTAAGGAATTTTAAATGACTAATTAGAATATTAACTGCGCAATATATTTGTATGGGACATATGGTAATATTTGTTCCAGCTTTGTCCATGTTTATATACATGTTGAGAGAAATTAATTTTGTGGCTAGCAAGCCATTAGATGTCTAATTAATAGCAATTAATTTTGACACTTATTTACAATTGTTCAGAGCAACTCTTATATATTCATCTTACGACTTTGATGATCCGTTGATCACCAATTTACTGATCACCATGACTCGCATGAAAAAAAATATGTACTTCCTTTGTTTCACAATGTAAGTAGGGGACTAATTATTAAAGTCCCTTTCTCCGGCCGTGTTTGTGGCTTGGCCAGCTAAGTTCTTTCTTATGAAAATGGATAAGCGGTATGTTCCATATGAAAACATATTATTTGAAAAAATAAAATAAATATATCAGTGTTATTAGTATTCTTATGTTAGGCTATTGATGTTAATGAATCTAGATAGATATATATGTCTAGATTCATTAACATCAATATGAATGTGGGAAATGCTAGAATGACTTACATTGTGAAACGAAGGGAGTAGTACTTAAGGTTTAGCATAGCTGAAATTGATGAATTATATAATTTATGTGATAGCTATTTGAGGGTATAAACAAATGAATTGACTTCTAAAAAGTTAGAATGCTGTTTAAAGAAGACACCGTTTAGAAACTTAGAAAGCGTAAAAAAAATCCAAAATATAGAATCGGGAAAAAAAGAGAGGGCCTTAAACTCCCTTTATCACTCTTATCGTAGTAAGAGTTCTATTGATATTCGTCAATATTGCGTTCACATTTATAACATAATGATTCCTTTCACCTATACGAACAAATAGTACAAAATCCAAATACGACATAACACAAATACATTATAATTGTTAATTGTTATGTAATCAACTCTTGGTTTCAACTTAAAGAGAGCTAATTATTGCTGAGAAAAACACAACCCATGGTGCTTAATTATTCTCTCGCTGCATCACACCTTTAATTTTCTTTTCATGTTATTAACAAAATTAATCATCTCCATATATGATTTGATGTGGCAAAGCGGTAGCGCTATAGCGGTTGTGATCACCTTAGATGTCTCAGACACTATGCTTTGTCACACGTGCGAAAGGCAAAGTGCAGACGTGCATTGTGCAGTGGGCAAAAAGAGAATTTTGGACGCTTTATTTATTAGCAAACAATAGATCCGATGATTATAATAATAGGTCCACCAGTTCTAGTGTAACTGTAAATTAGTTAATATAGATTTTAAATTATTAATTTAATGGGTACACAATATAATGGTGTAGATCTTATTTTGAAACAGTGCATTACTTGAGAATAATAGATAGACCAGTGTAATAAAAAGTAGATCCGATGATTTATATAATGGAGCCATCAGTTTAAGTGCACGTATAAATTAGTTAATATAGATATTGTTTATTTGAAAGGTACACGATATAATTGTGTAAAATTTATTTTAAAATAGTGCATTGTTTGAAAATAATAGTGCAAAGTAAAGAGTGCATTATATGATGGTAGAGTTTTGTTTGTAAAATTATGATTATTTAAAAAATATATCCATTATATATATAAATGGAAAAAAGAAGAAAAAAAGGAAAAAAAGGGGGGAAGGAAGCGTACATACCATGTACGTATGTATATCCTCCATCTGCCAATTCACGGGAGGAGAGGATAGGTGGGACCCATTGTATTTAGTTTATTTTAAGATCAATTTTATCTAACGGTGTATAATATTGGACCCACCAATTTAAGTGAAAATCAAGGGATAGATGTTTTGCTTTTTTCTTACAATTTCTAGGATTTTCTCTATTTTATTAGAGCGCCACGTGGCGGCTAAAGAGCGTTTTTAGGGAGTTTCATGGACTTTTAGTATATAATAGATAGATAGATAGATTTGGTACCTCATAGTACCTAGGTACCACAAGGTACCAAATTTACAATGGAAAAAGTGGTACCTCATGGTACCTCCTCAAGGACCGTAAATTGCTCGAAGTCTTTAGTTTCTTTTTGTATGTTTAATCAAAATTCCACTCTTTAGGAGATCTTCTTATGCATCTTTGTTTGCATGCATGCATGAAATCTGTTTATTTACTGGTTAAGAATGTTGTGTTCTTTTTTTTTGGGGGGGGGTGGTCGATCATAAAAGAACATGTTGTGTTTTGATTCCTTGTGGTGCAGCGATTTAGTTCTTTCAAGCAAAAAAAAAAAAGAAGTTATATGTTGTGACGTATGATGAGAAGTTGTTTAACTGCTTATATGTACAGTAAGACATTGTAGTCAAATAATATCACTTGTAATTACCTATTTCTGTTTGTCTAAAGGTACATGTGAATTTTGGAACTCTCTCCGAATTTATGAAAAATAATTGTACATGTTAATATATGAATATATTAAAAATAATACTTTTTAATATAACTGCATCTGAATATGTGTATACAAGATGACAAAATAGTGTATCAGAAGTGATATATCATATCTTACATATTGCGTTTGACCTTAAAAGCTATTCTTTTTTTAAAAAAAAAATCATGTCTATTTTGGACGTAGCAGTGGTATATTTATGTCTTTATATGCACAAAGGTCCACATCTCATTCCTAGGAAAAAAAATGCCGTTCACTTCTTCAGTACAACAACAACAAGTCAGTTTCTACTCTGAGTCTGACCGAACGATGGACAGATCTCAAACAATTTTAATTTGCAAACATTTCTTACATGCTGCGAGGAGTTTGGAAAGCACACAGCTCATATATAAATTTAATTTAATTTAATTTATACAGTCCTAAAACTTTTTAAATTTGAAAATTGCAGGCAGTTTCTGAGGGGGCTGCGTGTGTACGGCCGTGGTGAGTGGAAGAGCATCTCCATGAACTTCGTCAGAAGCAAGACGCCGGTGCAGGTGTCCAGCCACGCCCAGAAGTACTTCCGCCGCGTGGAGAGCGCCGCCGCCGACAAGCAGCGCTACAGCATCAACGACGTCGGCCTCAACGACGACACCGCCGCCATGGACGGCACCAACAGCTACAGCAACAATAACTTCGGTGGCTGGCAGAGTCTCGCCTTCGCCGGCGGCCACCTCGAGCCCGTCAGCGGCGGCGGCGCCGCCAGGCAAGTCATCGCTCCGGCGAGCTCCTCCGCCGCTGCCATGAACAGCGCCGCTCAGTTCTGGGCTCCTATGCTGTTCAACCCCCAGATTCAGCAGCAGTTCATGCAGATGCAGGCGCAGACGCAGCAGGCGTGGAATGATCAGCATATGATGATGGCTGCTGCTCCAATGGAGGGAGCAACTGATACTAACTTTGAGCCTGCAGGTGCAGTTAATTATTATTATTATCAACAGCAGCAGGAGGAGGAGGAGGGAGGTGCTTATGGTGTTCCTGCGGATCAGTGGATGATGAACCAGAACAACAACATGTTCTGAACTTCTGATAACATGTCTACATAGATGGGGAACATATCCTTTGACGTATTACGACTCTCTGACTTTGAGTGGTTGGCATGTAGTCCTTATAACCAACAGGTTTACATATCAATGACTCATATCAGAGAGTAGTATGTTAGAGAAGACGACTCATCTATATAGATGGCATATGGTGATCAAACCTATAATTAAAAGATGGCAATAAAATAAGCCTATATATATCGTGTTGAAGCTAAGACATTATATGCATGCATGTCTGCCTCAACACAAATATCCTAGCTAGTAGTATATCCATGTTTCCATTTTGTATAGTCAATAATCTGGTTGTGTTAACTGTTAAGCAATGTATAAATGTATTTCACCCCAATATAATTAATATACATACATACATACATACATACATACATACATACATACATACATACATACATACATACATACATACATATATATATATATATATATATATATATATATATATGCCATCATATCATATATGGCCTTGCATTGACTTTTGTTACAACCACAATCCTCATGGAACTAGCTAGGTGTATCAATTGAATTAACAAGGGAGAAAGATGAACACGTGCGCAAAGCGGAGTTGAAGGCGGGTGGGCACGCAAACATGATGGCACACACATAGCACAACTGGTCAAGGCACTGTTGTGAGCACTTACCCACCCGCGTTCAAATTCCATTTAGTGCATGTGTTCACCTTTTGTTCCTTCTCTATCAATTAAAACATACCTGACTAGTATATTTCAATATGAATAACCATTTACCCCATGATTATTTGCACCCTCCCCCCCTTTTTACATCATATTTTTTTGGGAGGATTAATCGTTATCAGTGTGACTATGATAGAGAAACACGGTGCAATAACAGGATTTTTTTAAGGGTTACTATAGTTCTATTTGATAATTAATTATGTGTTGGTTCAAGTTTGATCTGTTTCAGATATGTAAAAATCTTGCATTGACATATGCTGACCAAAAGATCAACGGTCCAGTGTGGTTGACATTAGAGATAGATGAGACCATGTATGGATCATCATGCATGAGACCAATATTCTATCCCTTATTGTCCACAGGCTTGGGTATGTATGGTATATTTAAATATGTAATAATTGGTATATACCACATAAAACATATCGAGCAAGAAATCTTTAATTTATGTATGCATGTACGAACTTCATTTATGTGGGCATATAGCCATACCTGCCTATAATGGATGAAACCTGTGGGCCTAGACATACCACTGGTTTTTGTTGAGCGGTCAGGTGAATCTGCCTTTAGACATTTAATAATGAGCATATATACTATCTATAGAAAACATACCAATAAAAAATTATTTCCATTTATGCATGTATGCGAGAACTTCATTTATGGACTGAGAACATAAATAGAAAAAACCACCGGATTGGAAACCTATGTGCTATAGAGCGGCAAAACCAGTGGTTTTGCCCAGAAACAAAATTTAAAAATTATTAGAAGAGACCAGGTGTCCGTCCCCTTGCACAATTTCCGCCTCCCGAAAAAATATAATTTATAATAGAAATCACTAAAAAGATTGCATTGGCAAAGGTTTGCATATATCATCTCACAAAAGATATAATTTCACTCCAAATGTCAAGAAAACCGTATATTCAAAGTCACACATAGACATTTTTTTTCTTTTTCAAATGCAGAGATCAATCGGTTTTAGAACTCAATGCACAACTCGGTCTACACTATCATACTCATATTTTTCTCTAACATTTTGCGTGAAACATTTCAGAAATGGAAGAGTAGAACCTTTGAATGGACATCGATCAAATGAGTTTTCCGCTGCCGTTTGTTCTGTATTGCTGAAAGCTGAAATATATCACATTGTCAGCACCATATCACAACTGATCGAGAAATATCTGATGCACACATTTGACGCATTGTCAACTCTCTTTCCCTCCCCCACCCCCACCCCTCTCTCTCTCCCCTAAAGAAGACGTACGTACGTATCGTACATACATACTCGCATCGTCCATGGCAAAGCGGCAATGGGTTGTCTGCAGTGACAAGAGCGAAGAAAGCAAGCAGTCATGAGGTCAAACTAATTTGAAAAAACTATGTCTTATATGTGTGAAATTTTTTATTTGGGGTCACACATGTGTTGCTTTGCATACCGTGTCTAGCTTGATTGCATAAGCTCATCTCAATCTCCTACATTTATTTACGAAAACCCACACCGAGTTGGAAATTTGACAGTGAATTCTCCAACTCTATGAAAATAAACTTATGGTAACAATGTCACATCGAACTACTTTTTGTATAGTTTGATATCTATTTTATAGGACTATGATTTGTAAAGGTAGTTGAGAGGAGAAGATATATATAAAATTCTATACTTATGGGTGAAACATTTTTTCCCTTTTATGTCTAACAAAATAAGTATAACGGAAAGTACCGCAAGACGACAAAATTGTTAGTCTCATGTACGGTCCGTACCTTATCGTTGACACGGAATGTTTTCAAATCGTAAGGACCGTAGCACAGACCGTACCATACCGTTGACACGGAATATTTTCAAATCGTAATGGTCGTACTAAGGACGTACCACCTATGTGTATGGAAACTATTAATATACCTCGTACCGCAAACATATATATCTTTTTACAGGTAATATGTGTCCCATTGATCCGAATTTCTTCCCTCGACGTAAATGTTACTTATATTTACATGATTTTACCAATGATGATCATGATCTAGCAGATACACACTCCACAAGTAGGTGAAGCCCCTAGGTAGCATCCACACACACATCCAGCCTATAAATACACTGCCCTACCCCCTTCTTCTCCCTCACACCAGCATCCATATCCTCTTCTCCTCTTGCACACATTGTACTCCATTGTTTCGCAGTAGCATTCGCTCTCGCTCTCGCTCTCGCTCTTCTCTTTGCTCGATCTCCATCGCCATGGAGTGGACGGCGGCGGAGATGGACGAGGCGAGGTCGATCATCGCTAGGCTGACCAACGCTTACGACTCCGGCACCCTCGTTGCCGGCGCCGGCAACGGCGACACGAGGCACGACCGCATTGTGAGGGAGCTGCAGGCGTGGCTCCCATGGAGGACCATGGATCAGCTAATCGGGCTGTACATTGAGCTCATGGCGGAGGAGCCCGCGGCGGCGCAGCCGCAGTACTTCGACGCCGGCGCCGTCGTCGACCCTACGTTCGACTTCTTCAACGACCACAACAACTTCCTCGGCATGCCGCCGCCGCCGGTTCAACAAGCTGATGACCATAACATGAACAACGTCGTCGCCGACGCCGGCATGAACTACTACTATGGCGGCGGCGGCGCCGGCGGTGCCATGGTGTTTGGTGGTGCACCCATGGGGGAGACGGTGGAGCAGGCAGCTCCGCCGGTGCCGGTGGTGCCGGTGGTGATGAACCGCGACGACGACGAGGTGAACAACCAGGGCGGCGGCCGTCACCGTGCTGCACCAACAAATACTACTAGGAGGTTTTGGACCACTGAAGAGCACAGGTTAATGCTTAATTCTAATCATATGCATGGATGATATATATATCTGGTGTTATTCTTTAATTTCTCATGGCATGAAGTCTTTAGTTTCTTTTTGTATGTTCAATTAAAATTCCACTCTTTAGGAGATCTTCTTATGCATCTTTGTTTCCATGCATGCATGAATGTTGTGTTCTTTTTTTCTTTGGAGTGGGTGGGGGGGGGGGTTCAATCTTAAATATAAGAACATGTTGTGTTTTGATTCCTTGTGGTGCAGTGATTTAGTTCTTTCAAGCAAAAAAAAAAAAAAGAAGTTATGTTGTGGCGTATGATGAGAAGTTGTTTAACTGCTTATATATACAGTAAGACATTGTAGTCAAATAATATCACTTGTAATTACCTATTTCTGTTTGTTTAAAGTACATGTGAATTTTGGAACTCTCTCCGAATATATGAAAAATAATTGTACATGTTAATATATGAATATATTAAAAAGAATACTTTTTAATGTAACTGCATCTGAATATGTGTATACAAGATGACAAAATAGTGTATCCGAAGTGATATATCATATCTTACATATTGCGTTTGACCTTAAAAGGTATTCTTTTTTTAAAAAAATCATGTCTATTTTGGAAGTAGCAGTGGTATATTTATGTCTTTATATGCACAAAGGTCCACATCTTAGTCCAAGGAAAAAAATGCCGTTCACTTCTTCAGTACAACAACAAGAAGTCAGTGTTTCTCCTCTGAGTCTGACCGAACGATGGACACAGATTTTCTCAAACAATTTTAGTTCGCAAAGATTTCTTACATATTGCGAGGAGTTTAGAAAGAACACAGCTCGATCATAAATTTAATTTAATTTAATTTAATTTAATTTATACAGTCCTAAAACTTTTTAAATTTGAAAATTGCAGGCAGTTTCTGAGGGGGCTGCGTGTGTACGGACGTGGTGAGTGGAAGAGCATCTCCATGAACTTCGTCAGAAGCAAGACGCCGGTGCAGGTGTCCAGCCACGCCCAGAAGTACTTCCGCCGCGTGGAGAGCGCCGCCGCCGACAAGCAGCGCTACAGCATCAACGACGTCGGCCTCAACGACGACACCGCCGCCATGGACGGCACCAACAGCTACAGCAACAATAACTTCGGTGGCTGGCAGAGTCTCGCCTTCGCCGGCGGCCACCTCGAGCCCGTCAGCGGCGGCGGCGCCGCCAGGCAAGTCATCGCTCCGGCGAGCTCCTCCGCCGCTGCCATGAACAGCGCCGCTCAGTTCTGGGCTCCTATGCTGTTCAACCCCCAGATTCAGCAGCAGTTCATGCAGATGCAGGCGCAGACGCAGCAGGCGTGGAATGATCAGCATATGATGATGGCTGCTGCTCCAATGGAGGGAGCAACTGATACTAACTTTGAGCCTGCAGGTGCAGTTAATTATTATTATTATCAACAGCAGCAGGAGGAGGAGGAGGGAGGTGCTTATGGTGTTCCTGCGGATCAGTGGATGATGAACCAGAACAACAACATGTGCTGAACTTCTGATAATGTGTCTATGTATATGGGAAACGTGTCGTTTGACGTACTGCTCTCTAACTTTGAGTGGCTGGCATGTGGACCTTATAACCAACAGGTTTACATATCAGCGACCCATATCAGAGAGTATAGTATGTTAGAGGAGACGACTTGTCTATATAGATGGCATATGGTGATCAAACCTATAATTAAAAGATGGCAACAAAGTAAGCCTATGTATCGTGTTGAAGCCAAGACATTATATGCATGTCTGCCTCAACACAATATCCCAACTAGTAGTATATCCATGTTTCCATTTTGTGTAGTCAATAATCTGGTTGTGTTAACTGTTAAGCACTGTATAAATGTATTTCACCCCCAATATAATTAATATATATATATATATGTGCCATCATATCATATATGTCTTTGGCTTTTGCTGTTACAGCCACAATCATCATGAAACTAGCTAGGTGTATCAATCGAATTAATAAGGGAGAAAGATGAACACGCGTGCAAAGCGGAGTTGAAGGCGAGTGGGCGCGCAAACATGATGGCACATTGTCGAGCTGCGTGCACATAGTTTCCTTGCAGTTTTATGAAACTGTGCTTAGCACAACTGGTCAAGGAATTGTTGTGCGCACTTAATTACCCACCCGCGTTCGAATTCCATTTAATGCATGTGTTCACATTTTATTCTTTCTCTATCAATTAAAACATACCAAGTTTATCCTTGGTATCTGACTAGTATATGTCAATATGAATAACCATTTTCCCTATGATTATTTGCACACCCCCCCCCCCCCCACCTTCTTTTAAGGCACTCTCTATGCCTTAAAATGTTTGTAATATTTAACCATGGATGTGATGAAACTTAATTAATTATATAAATGCTCAATGAAACCAAAGTTTTATTTCTATTTCTATATAGAAATTAATTTATAGGCATATTCCACATAATATATCCATTCTCGATCAGGATGTGCAATTGTATTGGTCGACATAGATTAAGGATGTCTTAGGTTTTCCTAATTATTAGAACTCAAAATATAACACACCATTATGTACGTTCAGTATAATGAAAAGTTTGTTGTGCATGAATTGGTTGCACAACTATCATGCGACTCAAAGTATACGTGCATTGTCTACCGTTAACTACTACAAAAGATTTCCCAAACGGACAAAATCATTTTTTCCGGAACATTATGCATAATTTGGTAGCTTCATAAATCTTGAAGATTTAATATATATTGTGGCTGTTGTAGATATATATATCAGAGCCCCTGTGACATCCTTCATAGGTTATTTATTATTTTATTTCTTCTAGAAAAATAAAAGAAAGGTCAACTGTCCATGGACTGCGCTAGGTCCATATCTGTATTTTTTTTTTCAGATAATGAGGTCCATATCTGTATGCATCCTAATACCACAATAAATTGCTCAGCCATATATGATCTGCATCTATCTTCAATGTTTACTCAATTCTCTTGTGGAAAAAATTAAATGTGTGCAAAGCTAGAGAAATATATGTGCACATTCACTACATTAAATTCATGGACCATTAATTTATTTACATATTACAATTTATTTAACATGTACAAGGCCGGTGTGAATTATAGAGACATTATGTGTATAATTAAATAAACCAATTACCATTATAAGTTAAGTATGAAATTATTTGCATATAGTTGCATTGAACTGAAGTACTTTATAAAAAAACTTGAAGTTATGCAATTGCACTGACATGTATATGTATGAAGTATATGAACTATCATTTTAATGTAGGAACAACTTATGCTAGTCCTAATCGGATTTCCTCCATAGTTTACATTTTTGATATGGAAGAACATGCCAGGGGTGCAAATTTTGGCAAAACAATTGAAATTTAAATAGAATTTGCTAAATTTTAAAAAATGATTTTATTTTGGCCAAAATAGTTCCATATGCCCACATAGGGGAGGGGGGTTGAAATTTCCGAAATTGCAAACCATGATTCCCTCGAACGATAGCAGAATTGTTGGGGAGAAGAGACAAGAGGAAGACTTGCGCGCTCAACGTTGCTCGGGCACAGGGACTTAACACGTTTGGGTGGGGAGGACGTTCATCAGTGCTTGTTTTTAGCTAGTCGGCATTATGTTGGGGGTATCGGTGTCGGTTTGTATAGAAAAACTACCACTCGTGTGGCCCCCCTTATATGTGCCGGTTTTGTACACAAACCGGCACTGATGGGGTATTATATGTGCCTGTTCTTGTTTAATTTGGGGTGAGAAGTGGTTGTGGGTGGGAATGGCCTGTCAGTGCTAGGTTTTACTAACCCGATACTGATAGGGCATCACCTTTGAGCAGTGAAAGGGTCACTTAGGCCTAGATGGGGTCAATAGGCTAATTTAAAAAACTCAAACAAATGCGGAAGCTGGGATTTTCGGATATATCCGAAGTAGCTTCGGATATTTCTGAAAATGGCACAGCAGCTACTAGCACACTAGCAATATGGATCTCGCAAGACACAACAAATAATCTCAAGCTTAAACAGCAGCTAAAGTTATAGAGGCACAAGCAAGCAAAGATAGAGGAAGGGAGAGGGAAAAAGATGTCACCAAAGTTCTTGCAAGATGAGTTGTTCCCCGAAGTTTGAATCCTTAAGGGGGTTCTAATCTCCATTGAGGATCTCACAAAGAGTCGGGTCTTCGCTAACCCTTTCCTCAAAAGGTTGCACAAAGCAATACTTCTACTAGTGGTATCTCTTCCATTTCGAAGGCGACATCCAACCATCACAAACTTCTCCTGGCCAACCACACGTAGATCGGTGACTCGAGAGAAACACCTAGTCGTTTAGAAGTCCTCAATATCCAAGAGTAAAAAGATGAAGCAAGAATATCTTGGAAATGAAACAAATGCTCAAAAATTCTTCACGAAGTCAACACCAAGCACTCACATGAACTCAAATCCACAACTCACACACACACACTCAACAAGTCCGAACTTGAAGGTCGGTGGAGAGGAGAAATGAGGTTGCACGGCTCAAAGTGGATCTCAAATGCACAGCAAGCCAAGAGCATAAGTATTTAGTAGCATCAACAACCTTGGCTTGAAGAGGGACCCTCAGATATGCCCGTTGGTGGGTAAAGATTCCCTTTTTCAGAAATTTCCGAACCGAGTTCGGAAACTTCCGGAAATCACCAGTACCGAATTTCAACTTAAAAAGTACATTTTGGATATTTCTGAAGCACCTTTGCAAATTTCCGAAAAACACCAGTACCGAATTTTGTTCAACTCACAGCTTCGGAAACTTCCGAAGATAGTACGGAAAAATCCAAAAAACAGCGGTACCCAAAACAACCAAGTCAACACAGTTCATAAATTTCTGAAACTCGTTCGGGGACTTCCGAAAAAGACCAGTACCGATTTTTACAAGTTCACATCACTACGGAAATTTCCGAAACAGCTTTAGAACATGTCCAAGAAAGAGAACCACTTCAACAAAGAATTTTGAGCATTTTTCTCATTCCTAGAAATTAATGCAACATCCCTTTAATAGTACGGCTTTCCTATTGACCCAGAAAATGAAAATTTACATTTTACAAATGGATTCTTTGCTGCTTTTCACCAAAGCTTCGTACATAAGGATATTGCATCGAACATCATCTCATGACGGACTAATGTTCCTTCACACATTCTCAATAGCAAGCATTAGTCCTTGCTAATCGGATTGTTATTAACCACCAAAATAATTAAGGGCCTAGATGCACTTTTAAGCAGTTATGTGGTAGTGATGGCATGCTAAAATCTTCGGATCAACATTATTTAAGGGTGATATGATTACTTATGTGAGAGAAGCTAGTCATACATTGTTTTCTTTTTGAATCTTAAGCTACTCACACATCTCACTAGAAACTTTGAGGTTATATCAACAAATGATCTTAAGTTAATTAGAACGATTAATTAAGATTGTTCTCATTGATATAACAAGTTATTACGGACGACTGAACCCATATATATCGATTGATGTTAATTAATAATAGTATTTATAAATCTCGCCAATTTATTCGTGGAGATATATATGGATACGGAAGATCTGATACATTTATATCTTGCTACATATATGCATCAAAATTTAATATTGGTTAGATTTCCCATTAATCAATTGACAAATCAAATGATACGCTATATCTTTTTTTGTTGAAATAGTCAATGGTTTGCGCCGCGCATATAGCCTATAAATACCTTGCCCTTCTCCCTATTCCACACTACAAACCCCGTCTCTGCACTACTAACTCTTGTGTGCCATCCCATACCTTCCCATGGGTTCAATAGTCATTGAGGGGTGGACGGCATCTGAGATAGAGGAGGCTAGGTCACTGATCACTAGCCCCAACAACGGTGGCGAAGGTGGTGATGGAGAGGGGAACAAGCAGAAGCATTGCGGACACATCGTGATGGAACTCCATGAATGGTTCCCTTGGAAGACCATAGGCCAGGTAATAGGTTTGTATATGAAGCTCAATGCGGGGAAACCCATGGTTATGCATAGCTTGAATAAGAGTGATGCCAACAATAGCATCGGTGAGGTTGATCATGTGAGTGCCCTCGCAAACGGTAACCCTGTGAGGCTAGAGGAACATCGACCCATGTTGAACAATGTGGGCTTAGTGTTTGATTATCCATTGGAAGAGATGGAGATGGAAAATCAAACAGATCAAGAGCCGAAGATGGTTGTAGAGGAGGAGGTGCAGCCTAAGGAGGGATTAGTGATCAAGGAGAAAGAGGCGGGGGTGTCAAAGATTCACACTAATAGTCAACATGTGACGCCATCAATAAAAAGAAGGGTGATTTGGACAGAGGAAGAACACAGGTTATTTATCTTCTTATTATCTGTATCCCTAATTAATTATATTTTTGTTTACTATTTTTGTTTTTATCTATGTGGGCATGGTGCTAATTATATCATCTAAAAATGTTTTTCTATGTTATTCGGGTACTAAAAGCTAACTAGTACCTCTCTAGTCGCGAAAATATGTTTTCTAGGATATGTTCGAGGTTAAACTTTAAAACAATTTTACGTCAATGTCTTTTAAAATGTTTTGATTGGATGTAAGAAGACATATGTATAGGCCAGCTTCAAAAAATACTTTTGACAATATTATATATTTTTTCCGGGGTTTTAGATGGTTTGCACTAAAAAAATAGTGGTCAAACATTGTGTTTCGACTTTCAAAGGCCAAAGACATATATAAAAGGATATGTTTTCGAAGGCCAAAGCCATATCTAAAAGTAGTGACCATGCATCTATAGTTTCTTCAAGCAAGACGAATTTGGACGATTACATGGTTGAGAACTTGGGATTACTGTTACATGTGTATACACGATCATGTCGTTTATTGTGAATTATATATATATATATATATCTTGTTTATTTATACAAAGTAATAATTTATTAGAAATGGGTTAATTCTCAAACCTTAGTAATAATTAATTACATCTCAAGTTCAAATCCCCATTTTCCCCTAGTATAGATGAACATGCATGCACACACGCATACTCCTCTAAATCAGTAATCCATCACTTGTTCTTGCTCGATCGAGCCATAAAAAAGTTTGGATTAATCGGTTTTGATCGATCGATCGCTGCATGTACGCACGCACGCAGGCTGTTCATGGTGGGGCTGCGCGTGTTCGGGCGCGGCGACTGGAAGAACATCTCCAAGCACCTTGTCACCACCAGGACGGCGGCGCAGGTCTCCAGCCACGCGCAGAAGTTCTTCCTCAAGATGGAGGCCCGCGGCGAGGCCGTCCCCCCGCCGGCCAAGAGGCGCCGCCGCCGCATCACCGGCGACCAGCAGGCGGCGGCCGCCGAGCACGCTGCCGCCCTCAGGCGCCGCATGCCAGTGCCACCGCCTCCGTTCAACCCCTTCCTCCTGCCCAGCCTCGTCGCGCCGGTGATGCACCGCCTCCTCCCACCTGGGAGCCAGGCTGCCGGCGCCGCCGCCTCCGGCAGCGGCGGCCAGGGAGCTTCTCTTCCTCAGATGCCATGGATCAACGGCGCCAATGGCATGGGGCGCTAGATTTGGTGGTGCTCGAGACTCGAGAGTCGAGAGTGGTGGTGGTATCATGGCGTCGATTTGATCTGCAGCTTCGCTTCGCTTCGTTTCGTATCAGCAATTTCAGTTTTCAATAATGAACATATTCATATGTTCTGGATCGTTTAAAGTTTGGATTTCGTTTCAGTTGTTTAATTATCTGGTACCTTAATAAATTTCTAATGTTGGTTTGTAATTCCAGTTCGAAAATAAAGTTCGGTTGTATGAACATTTAAAGTTGGTTTGGATTCCAGTTCGAAAATAGAGTTCGTTTGCAGTTATCTTACAAGTCTTTGGCATTCTCAGTTCCTATGCTTATATTCATGTGGTTTTTTTGTATGGTTCATAATTATGTGTTTTATTGTTCATCTGTTAGTTGATTAAAGCTTCATAAGTAACAAGATCATGGACTTGATGGTCATCATGACCTGTTTGTAGGTTTGGACAATTTCAACATGTTTTGGGCTAACACGTGTGTTCATGACCATCATGAAATAAGATTGTGTTGCATGGAGAACTTATGTAAGAAGAGTAGAGTTGTAAAATTCACTTGAGTAAAGAGGGATATATTGGAATTACTGGAATTTACTCAAGTGTAGAGTTGTAAAATTCACTTGAGTAATCGGAATTACTCCAATCGGGTTTTAAGTGTAGAGTTGTAAAATTCTGACACTTTGAGTAAATTTTCCATGCAACTCAACTTGAGTAGAGTTGTAAAATTCACTTGAGTAAAATTCACCTGTTTGAGAGCCCATATCCCAGGAGTGGATTGGGCAAAGAAGGAAAAAAGTACATTTACATCCCAAAACTACGTGTCAAGTTTAATTCGTGGTCCTTAACCGTAAACTATGTACGGAGACCCTCTCAAGTCTCAACTAATAAAACCAGTTTAATTTATCTTTCTTAATGGTTTTGATAATGGTACTGTCCCATATGTGACGTTGCACCTACGTGACGTTTATTTTTTTTAATGACCCGCATCAAACGATGTGAAGTTTTGTATTGATATAGGAAAAAAACAAGACTCTAACTCGGAAAAAAAACAAACAAACACCCCAGTTATCCTCATATATAGAAGTTGACGGAGAGGGGAGGTCCACTGTCTCTTGAGTCTTGAGTGATGCTTATATGGTATTCTAGTTAAATTAAAATTAGAAAAACTTTAAATAAACAGGACCCGCATACAAGTCTATCGAACAAACAAAATAGAAAAAGCTGTAGGGCTCACGTATGAGTCTATGTGACGTGTCTTCCTCGCTCTCCTCCCTACTTTGGTTCTTCCGTCCCTTGCTCCTCTGTCTTCCAAATCTCTCTTGGTCGGCGGAGGTCAGGAGATCGACGTCCAGTCCAGCAGCAAAATGCAAAGTACGGAGTACTACTACTACTATCAGACAATTAATTATCTTTCACCCATCCACTGAAATCCAAACGAGGCCTCGTCATTTCCCCCAGTTCAATATCATAAGACGTTTTTGATTTTTTTTTCCTAAGATAAAACTTTCTTGAAGCTTAATTATTTATAGAAAAAATAACAACATCTACTACACCAAATCTATTTCATTGAATATATTTTTCTATACTATATGTTTTGTATTGAAAATATTGTTACATTTCTATAAACTTGGTCAAAGTTTTTAAAAAAAGGTTAAAACTTCGAAAAAGGTCAAGTTAGCTTCCAAAAAAGTATGAAACGGGTTACTACAATATAACGTGGTTGGCCTGGTTCATCGATCTATCGCCCAGCATCTATATGATAAATAAACAAAAACTTTCCAGTTTCCATCACATAAGAAGCTTTCCAGTTTCCAACTTTCCATCACATAAGAAGCAAGTGATGACTTTATAGTGTAAAAAAGTTATACCTCAAATGAAACGTGAAGCCATATTTTCGATTATCCAAACAGTATGGTTACAAACAACTCCAGAGCCCTGATGATTCTAGCATAGCTTGTTAAGCGTAATAATTTAGGCTAGACTTCTTCTTAGCCTGCACCTGTATTATGCCTTCGTTGAAGTCCTCATGAGTCACCTGCGCAAGAAACGATCAGGATAAGAAACCACAAGTAGTTATCAACATAATTAGAGTTGGTAACAAATAGCTTATCTAACAATGCCAAGCAGATTAACACAATCTCCAGTAATGAAATGCCAAAGAAACTTAATGGTGTAGAGGGATTGCCTAGAACCCCCAAAAATAAAGCTTTGCAAAACTATTTCCTATGAGCAGAAACCACAAATTGGCAGGCAAAGCGGCACCATGTCAGAGCAGAATCCTATGCTGAGTGATACCACAAGAGAACATGTCCATGGGAAAAACATACAGTGCTATTTGTGTGCATGGCATTTAACTTGTGAACCCTGAGATTTTTATCGAGTTTTGCAAATATTCACATAATATCCATCTAAAAACAGTCACATTAATTCTTTACTAAGTTCTGTCAACTAGAAACAAATGAATCTGGAAAGAATCTTTTCCCCCTCAATAAAGAACTGAAACCAAAACCTTAGGGACATTACGGGATTATAAGAACAAAGGAACGTTATGGGATTATAAGAATAAAATAGGAAGTCACACCTCTGTAGCATCTCGCCGCAGTGCAAGCATACCAGCTTCGACACAAACAGCTTTCAGTTGCGCTCCATTGAAGTCATCTGTTGAGCGAGCCAGCTCTTCAAAATTCACATCTGGGTTTACATTCATTTTTCTTGAGTGAATCTACAGAGAACCACATATTAGTTAAAGCATGACTTGTGGATTACAAAAGCAAATGGATGAATAAACATTAGCTGATTAGACATCACAGGTTCTGGAAACCTACTTGCAAGATTCTAGCTCTTGCTTCTTCAGATGGATGAGGAAACTCAATCTTTCGGTCCAAACGACCAGATCGCATCAAAGCAGGATCAAGAATGTCAGCACGATTCGTTGCCGCTATGACCTGACCAATAATATACCATCAAACAGATGAAATGACTAAAAAGAAAACATTGCTAATCAAAACATAGAGATTCGAAGCAATGATATCAAGATGATATTGATAAATGAAATTTCAGAAGCTAGATAAAATCGTAGCAGCGCAAGGATGGTTCATGAACCAAACATAAACATGGATTTGTCTTTTCAACATGAAATGTAACACCATCCATTTTCAGATTAGATCAAGAAATCAAAAAAGATCAAGTGCTCAACTAAACCATCAGGGCAGGGATAATCAGTACATGCATGTCGGCATGCAACAAAGAAACAAATATTAATATATCCTAACCTTTATCCGCTCGTCACTACTAAATCCATCGAGTTGGTTCAGCAATTCCAACATAGTCCTCTGAACTTCTCTGTCACCACTAACCTCACTGTCATAGAATAAAGCAAAATGCTTGTTAACAATAAGAATATATTTTTTTCAATAAGAATGTTTTGATTATATTATAGAATTTGAAACAATGTAGGAAAAATTCCAGGGGATAAAAATCATGTGAGACATACATACCTGTCAAACCTCTTAGTCCCAATGGCATCAATCTCATCAATGAAAATGATGCAGGGAGCTTTCTCCTTAGCAAGCTGAAAAGCATCCCGAACCAGCTTTGCTCCATCACCGATAAACATCTGGGCAAGCCCAAAAAAATATGATTATTGTTGCGCTAGAAAACCATATGCAAGTAAATAGTAAATAAATAGACTTCTGAAGGCAAGGCTGTTCATATGTGATTCTTGAATGATATTCATAGAACCATACAATCAAATTGACATCTGTGTAATACCAACAAACAATGATGATCAACCACATAACTATTGCCTCCCCATGAACACCAAATAAATATCAACATGGTCACAAGAAAAAAAAAAGATGATAATCAATGGAGCTTTTTAATTGAAATAAATAATTACCTGGACTAATTGTGGACCAGCTAATTTCAGGAACGTCGCATTTGTCTGTGCAGCACATGCACGAGCCATCAATGTCTTCCCAGTTCCAGGTGGTCCATACAAAAGAACTCCTTTGGGGGGGCGAATGCCCAACTTTTGGAACCGATCTTTGTGTGTCATTGGCAAAACAATTGCCTCCACAAGCTCTTGAATCTATATTCAATAAAATAGGATGGAAAGAATGATAAATTATGAAAAGGAAAAGATGGATGGAAATGTAACATGCTTGATGCATGAAGCGATACAAATTGCTCTATTATTCCCTAAAGAGATGGTTGTCAATATTTCCAGTTCCAAAAAGGAACACTGAACTTTCAACATTTATTAAGCAATGTACCTGCTTTTCAAGACCTCCAATATCATTGTAGTCCTCTGTGGGTTTTTCATCCACCTCCATTGCCTTTACTCGTGAATCATACTCTGATGGCAGTGTGTCCAGTATAAGGTAGCTGTCTTTGTTTACTCCAACCAAATCACCAGGCTTGAGTTTATCAGGGTCAACTAGCCCAACCACAGGAAGGAATATAGTCTGCAATCGAAATAGGAACAAAGGATATTTTACAAAAATGAGTTTGATTTCTCTTTTTTTTTTGAACTATAAGTCATGCTTAAGCCTAAAAAATATTATGTTACAGAATATTTCATTGCTTTTAGATATGAACCTAAAACAGTAATACACATTCCAGCGGACATTTGGAAGTAAACATATGTTTCAATAAAAGACTCACAATCCCACATAACAAAGTCCGACACTATTGTACCAAAGCAAAGACATTAACTGAGAGCACTTTGCTTGCTGGACGACAGGCATAAATTGTTCTGTAGAACTGTTTACTTTTACAAAATTTCCAACCAACTACACTTGCTTCAACATATTCTTCTTTGCAGTTATATTCATTTTATGGATCATATCTAATCCAAACCATTCAGTTACAACAGAAACCTTATTTTAATTGCCAATATAGAAATAACTGATATGTGAGGCATGCTGTAATTTAATCAATTTTTTCCATTTCATGAATAAAGGAAGTCGTCCATTCATATGATGTAAAATCTAGGAGCTAAAGGAATAGGGAAACCAGGTTTTTGTTCTTACTTGTCTTGTGGAAGTCTTCAGAACAACACATTTTCCTTTCCTTTGTGAGTCTAAATCAATATTAGCACCATCCTCCTCAGCTTCATCCTCAGGGTTCATTTCCAGAATCTAAACAGTTGAGAAAAGCAGAAACCATATGGTTACAATACGCAATTGTTCCAAAACAATAGGTCACATTAATAGGGAAACAGCAATTTCTGGTAATAGCACTTAATTATCATGCCGAATCAATAGAAGTGGTTTAGTTTTAAATACTTTATCTATGATGAATCGTACCATATTGCAAGTCATGTAGGAGTGCAGATACTCAAATGCATCATAGGTGATAGTATCTACAGAACCATCAGATGTTATGCTTATGCAAATTTGCGTTAATCTACTCAGGATGAACTTATTCAGACCTTGAAGATCTTGAACACTAAGAGTACTGACATAGACCAGTAATCAAGTTGAAATGCTATTTGATGTTAGTAATCCAAGCCAGATCAAGTTGTTGGTTGTTACAGTCCTATGGATCAAAGTCACATAATTTAGACTTTAGAGAGTTATTACTGCTGCAAATACATGCTAACACTTAGATAGATAATGTGTAGGCACAAATAATGGAAATAGCAGAAGCAAAATCAAATGATCACAGTATCAATATTTTCTTACAAGGAATTGTGGATCTTCTGAACACAGCGAGCTAAGACAGATTATTGAATTACAGAACAATGTTGACAAGAAACAGGATGAATCAGACCAAAAGCAATTTATACCGAATTGCCCCCACACTAAAGCACACGCATTTGGCTTTTCTCTCACGCACTACTCCACGATCTCATATCAAACTAAGAAGTATCTCAACACAATAGAAGATCCAATCTGATAAACTAGGATGGCATTTTTGTTATTTTTTACCTCAACGATGTTGCCGACGAGGTAGGGAAGCTGCTTGTTGAGCTTAATCTTCTCCTGGTTCTCCTTAATCTTCTCCTTGAACGATTCCAGCTCCAAGTTGGTCCGCTGCAGCTCATCCTGCGCACCAAAATCACACCAAAAAAAACCCCAAACCGATCAGACGACCCGGAAACCCTAATCCAAGCAAAGATTCACCGGAGGAGGCAACTGGCAAAAACCTCGGAGGGAGGGGGATCTAGGGTTAGGGGAGAGAGAGAGAGAGCGGAGGCGGGCTTGCCTTGAGGACGCGGATCTCGTTGTCGAGTAGGCGGGAGGCACGGACGATGTCCTCCGTGGACATGGAGGCGAGCTGGTCGTCCTCCGCGTCGTCCACGGCCATCGCCGCCGGCGGGGGAGCGCCGGATGACGTCATCGGCGGTAGGGTTTCGGCCTCGCGTCGGGAGGGGGGGGGATCGGAAGCGGCTCGACACCAGCAGCGGAGGCGAGCGACTGAGCTAGTTGCCGGGGAGGGAAGGACACGTGTACTTTATATAGGGTGTATACCGTAACGTACTCCTACGGACTAGGGAGAAAACGGGCTACGGTGGTTTCCATTTTTTTTTTCCTGAATCGGAGGTCCCCATCAGTTGACCACTTCTTATTATAAGCCATAACGGCTTATTAGCAATTAAAAAAATGATATGTGAGTAAAACTTTTATATGTATGGTCTTAGTGATTGAAAAGCCAAAGTTGAAAAAAAACTATGTTGAAAAAACATTAAAATCAAATTCGAACTCAAGTTTTAAAAACATTTAAAAAAAACTATAGGGCAACCGATGAGGCCCGGAATTAGAACAGGAAGCACAAATACAAAAAATGGAATTGAATATTATAGAATACAAATGCGAAAACAGTAACAGATATTTATCGGAATATAAAACCTCTCAAACTGAACTTCTCGAATCAACGAAGAGATGTAGCTTATTATTATTTCTACTCAATATTTCTAGTATATCAATTTTGATAATAATACAACTACTCCCTCCGTTTCACAATGTAAGTTATTTTAGCATTTCCCACATTCATAAATATGAATATGGGAAATGCTAGAATGACTTACATTATAAAACGGATGAAGTAGTTGTTTATTTTATTTCCCAATAGAACAAGAATCATATTCATCTATAATAGTAGAGATAGAGATAGATCCTTATTTTGATGGTTTTGGGAAGGAAAATCCTTTTCCACGAAAAGCCTAATCAATCTTTCAATCAGACTTGTCTCAAAAAATCTGCTACCCAGAGCCAATTATATAGAGTGAATTATATTTTGAAGTTAGCAACCATGAAAAAAAAAAGGCTAAAGTTAATCCTAAAATCAAAATTTAAACTTCAAGATAAGCTGGTAATCCACAGGAACAACAAATAGGGCCCGATAGGCTTTACAAAACAACCGAGGAATAGTTGAGGAGTGAAGATAACCAGTATTACGGTTCAGGATATTTGACAAAGTCAAAGTGTATCTATTCCAACAACCAATTTAGTATAACTGTATACAAATGTACAGCAGTCTTATAAACTTTTTTCGGGAATACAACTTTTTTTAGACGATCATACAAGCAAATATGTTCGTGGCATATCTATCTTTTTCTTTTAAGCATTTCAAGTATTAATTCCGGTTTCCTACACGCTTTGCTTTCCATGTAATGCGATGAGAAGGCATCAGCATCAGTATCCTTTTTAGAGCTAAAATTACCAGGAGGAACTGTACTTTTTCCAGGTTCCCTTGGCTTCATTGAGTACTTCATGATCTTCAACCTCTTTCTCCCTAGACCCACAGAGATCTTAATAGATTCATCATTCTTCTCCAACTCAGAAATTGGGTGTTTGAACTTCCTCAAAATGTCGATTTCTTCGAGCGCGATGGCATTGTGAGGAGTGCAAGGGTCAGTAAGATCTTTTCTTCTCTCCATTGGCAATTTATCCAGTTTAGAAAGGGAGAATGATGAGTGCTGCAAGGTTGAGATATCATATCTTGATGCTCTCCAGGCTGGTGTAGTTGCAACCGAAATGGGACGATGTGGGTGACTGACTGCCGCTTGAAGTAGCATTTGCTGCTTTTGAAGGAAGGAACAATCATTGATGAGCTTGCTCATCTTTAGGCACATGATGATCTTGAGCCAGAGTTTCTCAATCTGATTAATGGTTTCCCCATGTTGCATTTCACGGTATAATGTGCCAGATAAAGAGAGACATTCAGTTAGTTGCTCTCCAATTATCTGCAAGGGGATGAGTTGAAGTTTTGTTAGTGCAACTAGCATGAAAGATGCCATGAGCCTTGTACTTGTACAAAGATTTCACAAACCTCAAAGAATAGAAGAACATCTTTCTTCAACAGAAGATACCCAGCGAACGCAGATAAAGATGAAAAAACCCTGACATATAACCAAAGTAAGAGAAGAATAATATAAAATCCAAACTAAAGCAGATTCCTGCTAATGATTAAATCCAGATGTTTACCTGCTCATGATCTGGTGTTGGGTAGTTGGATTTGCTTTGATAACAATAGTTGACAGTCCCATAAACCTGCATTTGCCATGAATTTGTTGGGGATTACTTAAACATTCTGAAATCATCAAAATTTATCCTTTCATGTCAGACAGGACAGATTACAAAGTATTTCCTCTGTAAGTTTAATTCAACATACCTGCTAACAAGCCTCAAGCAACACAGAAGGATGCTAGGCTGGCTATATCCAGCAGACTCTTCACTTGCTTCTGTTGGCTCTTTGATAGCGTAGTTCAAAATATGACCATTCTCTAATAATCCGCTAACTAGTTCGCCAAGAGTAGAAAGGATAGCACAATTTTTAAACTTCTTCTCTGAACAGTACTCAATGTTGGCTTGGAACAGGGAGATGTTTTCATCAATTATGCTTACAACAAATCCACAAAAGCTCTCCAGGAAAACCTTGTGATCAGCCTCTGGACCATGATTGGAGTTTGCACAAATGGATCTATAAACCTCAATAGCCACTTCCACCTCTAGGTCATGTGTCAAAGAAAGGTATGACTCAGAAGAACTTTCAGAGCCACAGAGAGTAGATTTCCTCCCAGGCAATAGGAAAGCAAAAAATGGATAGCAGAAGAACTGATAGAGTACATCATGGACACCTGCGCCGCAGATAATTTTTTTTAAGTTTGGCGTAATTTGCCCATTCAAGCGCTTCGCAATTTTGTTCCACACCATCAACCATCTCATTCTTAGCCTATTATCTGTCAGAAGCATGATCTGCTTATACATAAAAGAAACAGCAGCATGAAAATTGTCCTGGAAATTGGATAAGCAAATAATTATAGCCAATTGCTCAGCATCTCCATGTGAGAGCTCTCCAGTAAACTCAGCTACAATTGATAGAGACAGGACAATCATGTAAACTTCTGGAGAAACCATTTCCATGTAAGAATATGACTTCATTCCTGGATATGATAACTTTGGGCTGCAATCTGCATATTCCATCTCTTTTATGTGTTCGATGTCTAAGCCTATCACACAGATTCCAGAAGCCAGTAGGCAATGATCCAATTCCTCCAAAATAACTTTCACAAACTGAAAAGCATATTGCAGTAACACTGAACAATTGTTGTTGTTTTGCTTTCCTACAAGATCCATAAACACCTTCTTCACAAACTTGCACACCTTAGCAACGCAAATCTGAGCGTTGCCATTAGCACATTTTGCTTTACAATCAACTTGAACTCCCTGAACAAGCAATCTGAAAATATGCGTAGCAGAATCCATAACAGTCACCACGCTTTCAAGAGTCATCTTACGAAGTAGTTCTGGATTTACAATACAGACCAGGATGTCCAAATGAAAATCAAAGCAAGTAACATCCCATGGTAACCATCTGATACACTGACCATCCATCAAGGTCTTGAGATGTATACAGGATTGGGACAGCAAGTTCTGATTCAGTGGAATGGGCAAATACTCTCCATGTGAGGCCATGTCTCGGACTTTTGTTGAAATATATTCATGAAACAGATTGACACAAAATGAATAAAGCGGCTTATTCTGAATATCTGGTCCAATGGAGAAAACTATTTTGAGTACTGGCCCAAAAGCAGCCTCCAGAATAGGTAGCTGATTTATCAAATCACCAAGTTTATATAAGAGGTGATGCCATGTGCTCAAGCAGGAAGAACTTAAAGCAATACTATGACTTCTTGACAGAATTCGACCCAAAGGCATCATAATTAGCCTTATCTTTTTCAACTGAGCATTTGTATCTGCTCTGGATTCAATGGGAGAAATTTTAGTTTTTGGAACCAAAGTCTCCGAAGCCTGAGGAAGAAATGCATTCACCAAATTTCTCCAGGCAACCTGTAAAACTGAAAGTATTATCATATTACGACAGGATAGATTCTCTTAATGGAGAACAATTTCACTTGATAAATGAACAGTTTAGCTCACCATTGTGGCAATCTGGACTTGCGTATCAGAATCAATGAACAACTGCTCAGGGACCTTAAGGATTTTATTAAGTAGATGTCTATTATCCACCACATGTAAGCCAAGTAAGGATATGTACCAGCCCCATGACTTCACTGCTTGAACTTTCTTTACAGGATCATGGATCATATTCAACATACAAGAGAGCAGAGAATGCTCAAGGTCTGAAGCTATTGCCTACACAGCAAGCATCAAAGAAAATTAAGTTCAGAAGCTGTCACACCATGTAGATTGGAAATGGGATTGCATTAGCAAGTAACATGATACAACAAGCGGTTGGTAAATAAGTAATGCAGCATCAGAATTGCAAAAGGATGCATTAATATGGCACATCTCTAAATCACAAAAATAATATAAAGATTCACATGTCAAATGCCACATAAATATGTGACAAGAAAGTGCCATTGACACGTGCCAGTCTGCCAGATACACATTGGCCAAATTAATCTACCAATAACTTTTAGTTTGCTTTGTACATAGATTCTATAGCATTTCAGAATTACAGCTCAGTTCAGTACAAATACTACGGAGATAGGCCAATGTTATTTTTTTTTGTTTGTCCACGAAGTTTTCAACAACTCAACATAAAATATTTCAATACCTAATTTATTAAGTGTTTTTTCATTAAAAAAATAATATGTGGCTTTAACAATGAAAGTATTATGCTACCAATTAGAGGCAACTCTTAGACATTCAGAATAGGAGCAATATTTCAATTACCTTCGATAGAAGAGATTGTGGTGGTAAAACAACAGATGACACTTTAATCAGGCACCTTTCTGCCATATCCCTTTCTGCCTTATCAACACTCAAGAGTCTTCGGTATATCGGTGGAACCCATATGCTTGATAGTTCCCTCATTTTTTCTGGATTTTGACTCGTAAGTTTCATGATAGCCTTCACAGTTATCAAAGGGAATGTAAGTTCTAAGTGGTATTAGCTGGTAACACAGAAAAAGAAAAAAAGAAGCATGTTTTGACTCTCAGGATAAAGGTGCTCGAATTTCCCCCTAAGAATGATTGTCCAATTGTCCTATATTGTCCAATTCTCATAATAGCAATGGCATAAAAAAATGTTTTTTTACTAACTCACAACTGTTTCCTTGCATTGCCTATGCCAGTGCAAGAGCTATATGTGTTGGTGTAGAATGAAATTCATCCAAAAATGTACATAAAAAAGACAGAAGGAATCAATTAATTAGTAGCCTCGCTCATTAATTCATGTGGAAAATCTGTAAAGCTGTCTCAGTTTATAAGATCTTTGCAGGGTTTCAGGTCAACTCCAAACAAAATAAAAAGCTTATGAATGCCGTTGATTATCTGGTCATTTATTGGCATCATACTACAATGCAAAGCAATTATTTACATGACTTGTTTGTTATTTGCATGTGATAATTCCTAAACAATCAACTATACAGGAATCAGATGCTCAGAAGATAAATTTATTGCATAACTGCACATCCAGAGCTAGGCAATGAAGTAGGGATCAGTTCGAGTATGCAGAATACCTGAACAGCCTCAAATGTTGTAGACAAAGAACAAAATGGATTGTCAATGGCATGAACAATAGCAGTTAGCAAAGAAGTTGCTCGATGATCTACAACGACAGCCTCCAATTCTTGCACAGAGATGCACCACACACCCAGATTACAAATAGCCTACAGTACAAATTGGTAAATTAAATAGGATAAAATAAGAACTAGATTACCAAAATATAATCAAACTCTCCATGCTAACATTGAACAATAGAAACATTTATACACAGAAGGATAGAAAGTGTGAACAACCTTCATCTGAGTGGTCATGATTAGCTGTATCACGGTATCTAATACTGACTGAGCCATCTGCCCTGCAGGATTTTTTTTTCAAAAAAAAAACAATATCAAAATTGTCCGTTCAAAGATAGAAAGCTATAAACATTATCAATCATGTGTATAAGCACATTGAATCAGTTATTCAGTTGTGAGGGGCAATTGACTGGTACAGAATGGAAGGGATAATGGCAAATAAAATAGCGACAATAAAATATGTGTTACTCCTTTCATCAACTATAGAAAGCACGATATACATTAAAAGAAACTTGTTAATCCTAACATCGTTTACAATATTACCTAACAGGAAAAAAATGAAAATTGACAATTTCCATAAAGGGCCAGTCCACTAGCTTATAACTGTACCATTGGTGGATGTACCTATAGTCATGTATATATTGTCAGAATTTAACATCAAGGGTTAGCGTAAACAACAGTAAACTATATGTAACAATCTTAAATTAAAGAACCTAAACCATCAACAGGACAGGGCATTCAGTAGAATAAACAAGTTAATGCCTAGAAATATCAAATCAGGCTGCTGGTGAAGTTCAAGCTCAGGATCTCAATGTGTATGCATAGGAGTAAGTTTCGGAAATAAATCACACGGTTAAGGCCTATTTTAGGGGACCTTTATTCCATACACATAAAAAAACATTTTATGCTTCGTTTCATTAACCGGATTACACAAATGTACTGGGGAAAGTGAAATCATCCCTCGAGGGGATATCCTCTCGTTTCATGCATGTCACCTAAATAGTCATAAAAAAATATGAAAAAAATTGGCAACATAGATTAATATGAAATATATCACTCCACAAACATGCAAGTTTAAATTCAACTTCTACAAGTTGTAACAAAAATAACACATATAGTTGCGAATGTGCGATCACTATTTTCAGTTTAGTTTGTTATTTTTGTTATAACTTGTAGAAATTTAATTTGGTCTTGCATGTTTGTGGAGTGATATATTTCGTATTAATCTATTTTGTCAATTTTTTTAAAATTTGTTGATAACTATTTAGATGACATGCAAACAACAAGGGGATGTCCCCTCGAGGCCTTGAGGGATGAAAATCCACATCCAAATGTACTGTAGGAGTAGTAACTAAGCTGAATCAAATTTGTGACATCACAGTTACTCAACAATCCCAAGTCTGCTCAACCGAAACTGCACATTTCACTGACGAGTTGTGGATACAGGGGAGCCATTCTACCTGAGACGGTGGAGACGAGGACCGGATGGTAGAGCGTGAAGCCAAGGCACTTGAGCGCGGAGGCGGCGACGGCCTCATCACGGTCACCGGCGTCGCGTAGGAGGAGCGGGAGGAGGATGGAAGGGGAGGCTGCGGCGAGGTCGGCGGCCGCGGAGGGGTCATCGGCGCACGCGCGCTGCAGGTGGAGGAGACGCGCGTACGCGGAGGCGCGGTCGGGCTCGGCGGCTATCTCCGCCACCTGCCGCTCCACGGACGGCGGCGCCGGCGGCGGCGGCATGGCAGTGCAGCGGCGGAGGGCTAGGGTTTCACTGTTTTGGCGCGAATGTGAAGCGGCGGCGCCATTCGCGCGCGCGGCGCGCCCACAAATTCAGGGGAAGTTGGCGGAAGCGGAAGTGACACTGACACTTGACGTCATCTTGCTGCAGATGCGGTAGATGTACACAAATACGCCAAGATATAAGAGAAGGCGTATTTTGATGTCAATGGGCCTCTCTTTACATTGAACCATTGAGGCCGCCTTTTATGGGCCGAGTTTCTGGGCTGTCCAGTATTTTGGTCCAGAATTGGACCCGTTTGAAGGAGGCATGAAGGCTCATTTGGTCCAGATCTTCTAGCCCACACATTGTGATGCTAGCCGAAAGACCAAGTGATCCATATCAAAGTAACAAAATTATGACATTTTTCAACTTTTTTTTCGTCTCTTTGTCTTCGAATTCGATGAACCTTTAAACAAAACTATGGAATGATCTCATGGACCATGATGGGCTAGCTCATATTAAACAAGACAGTAAGTGATCTTTTACTTTTCTCCATTCTAATTCACGATTCATCGCAGCACCACATCTGCACTCGTTTTAATGTAAGGGCCTTTCGAAATGTACAGTTTTTTATAAGGCTCAAAATAATTACTGCAAAAAAAACTCCTACAAAATTCATGCGTTCAGCAAAAACACGCCCAAAGAACCGTCGGCGAAATATCTTCTTTCTTCTCTGATCCAACCAATAACCCAACCTGACCATCATCCACCCAATCCATTCACGAGCTTAGCCGACTCGAAATGCTCAAGCTAGAAATCACCAAAATTTCAGATTACGGACAGATCGACAATGGCAGCCTCCCCGGCTCAAAGCTTGTCGCCATAGAAGACTCACGCCGGATCAGTCCAAGAACGGAGCAAGCAGCCGAGGCAGACAGCCTTATCGTTTGGCATATTGAAGAGAAAAACTAAAGGGCATATTTATAAATAAAATAATTTATAAATAAAACTTTTTTATGTGTTTTCTCAACGATCTAAAAGCAAAAGTTGTAAAATAAACTATATTAAAAAAAACCATAAAATCAACTCCAAATAGAAAATTAAAAATTTAAATTTTGAACGATACGCATAGGTAAAAGCGAAAAGACGATGCTGTACACGGGAAACTGTCCTTGGCACCAATGGCCACTCGACTCAGCTCTACTGCCAATCGCTCGCATTTAGCCGCCAACTGGAGGTCGTCGAGAGAAATCTGGGGCCATCTCGCCGTCTCGATCCTCCAGTAGTTCGAGGTCGGCATCCCCCAGATATTTTTCTTTCTTCCTTCTCGTCAGATTTTGTAATAGTTGCATGCATGTGTGATATGTGCTTAGATCATAATCATGCACTGATTGATAGTGTCACTGCTTTCTGACGGCAAGGTTACATTGGATTGTTGGTTGGTTTGCTTGTTGGCTTTTCTGGTTTCTGGATTGATTAAGGTTTCTCTCTCTCTCTCTCTCTGAAGATGGGTTGGTTCTGTCCGTAGATGGAGCTGTCAAAGAGTGGCCACTTGCTGTTTAGTTTTGTAATAATCGTAATAATCTGAGCATACTACGAATGATGCCATGTTGCATTATTCGCATAAAAGAATAAACTTTAGGCAGACTTTGGTATCCTTCCATACACTGGTCCAAGTATCCGAATAAAACTGCATTATCTGAATACACATATCACAGCATGCATTATTGGTGGGAGACATAATTAGAGAGATAGATTAGCGAAAAAGAGAATTAAATAAGCTTTCATTGCTCATGATTGGGGCCGATGTGGCACGAGCAAGGCAACAGCTGTGCGGTGCATCACGTGGCTGACTGGCTGTCCAAGTAAACACAAAAGTCGATCAGGGTCTCGATTTCTTGCAGGTGTGCTTATCTAGACCCGGGAAATTTGCTTTGTTTTGTCCTAGTTTATTTATATCAGGTTATCGTATATTACAAGTAGAGATTTTTTTTTCTAGAAAACAGAGCACTAGTAATAGAGAAATTTGACCCTCTAATTCAATACTTCAATGACGCGCGGGATAGAATGGCGAACCATCACATCTTCGATTAGAAAAACAACAAATCATTAAATCGCACCAGCAGGTAGCTAGTACTCCCAACTATGGAGTACTGCCTCCATCCTAATTAGGGGTGGGCGTATTTAGACCGAACCGAAGAACTGAACCGAAAAGACCGAGACCGAGAAATTCGGTTATTTGTTCGGTCCCAGCCCTCAAAAGACCGAATTTATTTCAGTCATTTCAGTTATTGGGTTCGGTTAACCGAATTAACCGAAATGACCGAAATTTTGGCTCAATAGGCCTAGGCAGCCCAATAAGCCCACTAAAACAAACCCTAGATGCAACCCTAGCACCAGTCCACCACTGCCCGCACTCCCCACAGCGCTGCCTCCACCGCGCAGCCTCCTCCTCGAGCCTCCACTGCGCCGCGGCCGCCGGCTCCGCCCTCCACCGCGCCGCCGCTGCCTCCGCCTTCTACCACGAGGCCGCCGCCGCCGTCCTCCATCGCGCGGAGGCCACCGCCGCCGCCGCTGTCCTCCACTGCGCGGCGGCCACCGCCGTCCTCCACCGGGCGGCTGTCCTCCACCGCGCGGCTGCCGCCTCCGTCCTCCACCGTGCCGGCGACGCCTCCGTCAAATTTTTTCATTCCAAACTTCCTCCTGAAAAATTTCGGTCAGACCGAGACCGAATTTGTCGGTCCTGAGTTTTTTTTTGATGAAATTCGGTCTTGGGTTTGCAAAGACCGAACTGACTGAAAAAACGAAGACCGAGACCGAATTTTTCGGTCTGACCGAACGCCCACCCCTAATCCTAATATGTAGCAACATAACCCATCCTAGATTGCTATATATTGGGACGAATATGTAGCAACATGACCCATCCTAGATTGCTATATATTGGGACGGAGGGAGTAATAAGCTTTAGAATAGCGACAAACAAAACAAACCCAACAAACAGAAAGTCTTGTTTAAAGCGAAGTAAGCGTCAACTGATCGGATTTCTTGTGATGGAACTAGCTCGTCAGGGTTTAACACGGTTACTCGCATCTATGACTAATTATCCTTTCGGTGGTAAGCCCATGTTGACTTCCTTAATGCCAAAATATGCAAGCTCGGTCTTTCAGGAATTGCTCATATGGATAAGGCGTACGTGTGTACTTATCACAAGGCATGAGTTAGTACAATGTTTCTAGAAAAAAGAAAGCTTGTTATTAATTAAAAAAAATCAGACAGAAAGCCAATTTGACCTTGTTCCTTTTGTCCGGTGACGTGTATCCGCCGTGTCAGCCTCGTCCGGCTTCATCCCGTTGCGTCCCATTTTCCTCGCCCTCGTCGCTAGTTCGCGACCCGTATGCGTCGCGTCGCGTGTTCGCCCACCACACCACCACTCACCTCACTCACGTGACGACTCGTCCAACCCAAACAGCTCAACCCGACCAGCCAACCCAATCCTGCACACGCACGCGGCACGCGCGCAGTGTCAGAGTCACAGGCCAGTCACCAACCAACCCGATCCGATCCAGCCGCCGCCGCCGCCGCCAATCACCCCCGCCAATGTCCGTGCCGGTGGCGCGAAGGCTGCTCATGATCTCCACCACCCGCGCCACGCCGCCCGCCTCCTCCTCTCCCCTTCTCCCGCGCCCGCGCACCATATATACCTTCCCTTCCCGCGCATTTCCCCCCATCGCATCCGCCCCTCTCCCCTCCTCTTCTCGCCGGTGCCAGAGGCGGAGCAGGTGCGCCGCGTCGTCGTCGGAGATGACGGTCACGTCGTCGGTGAAGGTCGCTGGTGGGGAGCTCTCGGTCCATGGGCGGACGGTGCTGTCCGGGGTGCCGGAGGCGGTGCGTGCGTCGTCCGCCGCGGCGGCGGGGCCCGTCGATGGGGTCTTCCTCGGCGGAGACTTCGCCGAGCCGGCATCCCGCCACGTCGTCTCCCTCGGCGCGATGAGGTTTTCGATCTCTTCGATTCGATGTCTTTGTCTCCAGATTTGATGGCGCTAATCGGATTGGTGGATTTGGGGTGGGAAGCAGGGGGGTGCGATTCATGGCGTGCTTCCGGTTCAAGCTGTGGTGGATGGCGCAGAGGATGGGGGAGAAGGGCGGCGACGTGCCGCACGAGACGCAGTTCCTGCTGGTGGAGTCCAAGGCCGGCGTCGATGGCGGCGGGGGTGACGCGTCGTACCTCGTCTTCCTCCCGCTCGTCGAGGGCGCGTTCCGGGCCAGCCTCCAGGGGGGCGGCGCGGGCGGCGACGAGCTCCAGCTCTGCGTCGAGAGCGGCGACGCGGGCACGCGCGCCGCGTCGTTCGACCGCGCGCTCTTCGTCGGCGCCGCGGACTCCGACCCCTTCGCCGCCATCGCCGGCGCCGTCGCCGCCGCCAAGTCCTGCCTCAAGACGTTCCGCATCCGCGCCGAGAAGAAGCTCCCGGGCATCGTCGACTACTTCGGGTGGTGCACCTGGGACGCCTTCTACCAGGACGTCACCCAGGAGGGCGTCGAGGCCGGCCTCCGCAGCCTCACCGCCGGTGGCGCGCCGCCCAAGTTCGTCATCATCGACGACGGCTGGCAGTCCGTCGGCACCGACCACCAGAACCCCGACGACACCGGCGCCGACGCCAAGGACAAGCAGCCGCTCCTCGCGCGGCTCACCGGAATCAAGGAGAACAGCAAGTTCCAGGACGGCGACGACCCGGCCGCCGGCATCAAGACGGTGGTGCGCGCCGCGAAGGAGAAGTACGGCCTCAAGTACGTCTACGTCTGGCACGCCATCACCGGCTACTGGGGCGGCGTCCGCCCCGGCGTCGCGGGGATGGAGGGGTACCACTCCAACATGCAGTTCCCCAACGTCTCGCCGGGCGTCGTCGAGAACGAGCCCGGCATGAAGACCGACGTGCTCACCACCCAGGGGCTCGGGCTCGTGCACCCGCGCGCCGTGTACCGCTTCTACGACGAGCTCCACGCCTACCTCGCCGCCGCCGGCGTCGACGGCGTCAAGGTCGACGTGCAGTGCATCCTGGAGACGCTCGGCGCCGGCCACGGCGGCCGCGTCTCGCTCACCCGCCAGTTCCACCAGGCCCTCGACGCCTCCATTGCCAAGAACTTCCCT